AACATTCAACCCAGCAGAGGTGGGAGAGTCTGCCTTGCCTTCCACTGTCAACACTGAGCAGCTCTCAAGCAAGGTGCAGTAGGTGTCACTTCTACTAACAAAAGGTGTCAATGGCTCCTAACTCATGCTACTCACCCAAGGAAAAATATAAAACACTTCCACGGCTGCTATGCAACAATGGCTCACAAGGGTTACTTTCCTGTGTGGCCCTGAAGCCCATTAGATCAGTGAAAGTCTGGCCGTATGTTCTATAACTTGTTTTTCTACATTAAAGTTAAATTTTTTAATCTAAGAGTACATGATTCTGACACATCATAAATTCAAGTACGGTGAGGAGATGGGGCAAGTGGAGATTTCATCTTCATCTTTTTCACTTCTACTTTCTACCCTTCTCACCTCTCCCTTCATTAGTGCATCTCTTCCCCATTTACAAAGGAATTAACTCCCTATTTCCTACTGGCTAATTTTTTTTAGCTCTTTATTTACACTTTAGATATCTCAAATTATAAACTTAATCCTATTTTACTTTGTATATATGATTTCCCATAGCAATATAACCTTAAAGTGCATCCAGTTTTTTACAGATGACTCCAATGTATCCATTTTATAGCTTACTATGAATTATAGAATTTCCATTATCCATTCCTCTGTTGATGACATATAGGCTGTTTCTAAGATTTTGCTGTTATGTGTTACGCTCTATACACATGGAGATGTATACATCAGTAACACGTGATGTCATTAGCTCTTTGGGGAAAATACTAAGAAGAGGAATAGGCATAGAGCATGGTATTATTATTGTTTTTTGTTTCTTTGAGACATAATCTCTTTATGCAGTTCAAGCTGAATTCATTTTGCAGTCCAGGGCACCCTGGAATGTGCAACAGTCCTTCTGTCTCAAGTACTGGAATTATGGGCACGTGCTACTATGCCTGGCTAAAAGGAATTATTTTTAGTATTTTGCAGAATTTCTATAACAACTTTCATACTGGCTGAACTAATACACACTCGCACCAACAATGTAGAATTGTCTGTTACTTGCATCCTCACCAGAATTCATTGAGTTCTTATGATAGCTATTTTCCTTTAAGATATTTCAATTTGCATTTCTCTAATGGTCAGTGATTCTGAACATTTTGCTATTAAATGACTTGCACTTCTGAGAATTGTGTATTCATTCCAACGTCCCTTCTTCAAGTGAGGCTTTTACTTTTGGGTGCCTAATTTTTAGTTGTTTGTATATTCTAGATACTACTCCTGAGGAAGATCATAAAATTTTATCCCATTCTGTAGGTTTTTTCTTCACTTTGTTTCTCTTGCCACATAGAAGTTTCTAGAGTCAATATGCAGTAAGCCCATTTGTTCACGGGGTTGTTTCATCTTACATTCTAATGCAAATACCAGTAACAGCATTGCAAAAACTAAATCTTCCTGTCTGTGTTCAGAACATGACATGTCTGGCTAATTTATGCTGCCTTTTTTGCTCTTAGTCTTTGAGGTAGGCAAATGTGTGCTTTGCAAATATTATGATGAAAATGATCTTTTTTTTTCTCCGAATGCCTTCAGGGCAGGTTTGGCTGGCTTAAGTTGTGGGGACTGAACCACAGCAACCTGAGCCTGACTGCTTTGTGGAAGCAGCCACTTAAAGAACTGAGCTAAGGGGCAGGCCCCCAAAACAGGAGAATAGCGACTTCTTCTTTTTTTTTTTTTTTTTGGTGAAACTGGGGATTGAACTCAGGCCCTTGCGCTTGCCGGGGAAGCACTTATTCCCCTGAGCCATCTCCCCGGCCCATACGATGAAAAGTATATTTCCTGAACAATACCATTTTGACTTTGCAATAGTGATGCTTTCTCTCCTATCTAGGGTTTATCTTCTGAAGTTATACTTATTTGTCTCCTTAAAGTTCAAATATAAATGTTTTCAAAGGCATCTCTCTGGGCGTCCAGGCTGGTTTCACACTCATTATCACCTTGTTTCTGCCTTTCTTGGTGTTGGAAATGAAGCAATGAACACCAACACCTGACTTGCTCTTTTGTGTCTAAGAGTGAAAAAGACAAATGCTGATGTAAAATGATTTGGATCAAAGTAATTATGAGGGGCTGGGGAGATAGCTCAATAGAAGAAGCACTTGCCTGGCAAGTGCAAGGTCCTGAGTTCAATCCCCAGTTCCACCAAAAAAAAAAAAAAGTAATTATGGCACTGGGGAATAAACCCAGCAGTTCTAAAGGAGTAAACTACATTGCCAGAATTTTCATATTTATTTTGAGATAGGGCCTCAGAAAGTTGGTAAGGCTGGCCTCCGTCTTGCCTTCCTCCCAACTCTACCTACTGACTGGGTAGAATTACAGGCATGCACAATGGGAATAACTACATGTTTTGATGCTAAGATGGTGGAAAAGCAATTGTGCTCAAGACAAATTGTCTTCTACTTTCAACATTCCATCACTAGCTAGAATAGCAACAGTAATATACACTGTACACCTTAGTGATAATGGTAAGAATCTCAAGTGTGTTATAGTAAAGTTAGCCTCATATTTCAGGGTATAAAATTTGATACTGTATTCTGCAAGGTATATTTAATGAATTAAATCAAATATTCCATAAAGTAGTACAAAATAAGATTTTAAATACTACTTAACTGGTAATTCACATATATGAGTTTCATTAAACAAGGCTGACAACTATAAGGTTTATACTATTAGGGGTAATGAAGTGCTTGGTTTTTTTTCATGTTACTATAAATTTATAACAATGTAACCATATGAGAAATTGAACTGCTTCTGCATTCATTAAGAAAACTATGCAAATTTTTTATATAATATTTAAAATTTTAAAAGACAGATGTAATACTATAATCTGTGAAGGTAAAGTGAGGCACAGTAGACCATTAAGACAGGCAGTTCAAGCAATGTGTGAGGAATTTATTGTAGACTGGGTACAGCCTGGTCAAAGGTGAAAAGACCACTGGCCCCAAACAAGGGCAAGAGCATGTTCTCTAGGGAAGTTTAGGTAGGGAACGGGGACACGGCCAAATGGGGGCACACAATTTTAGACCTCTGAACAGGGGGTCTAGGGATCAGTGATACAAAGGGCTGCATTGTGTAGGGAGAGTGCTGGCAGGCACAGCATGCCCACTGTCAGCTCTCTGCAAGTTGAGTGTAAGGCAGCTACTAGCTGGTTAAGCTGCGTGGGAGACGCTTCCAGCTTCCAGCTGAATGCTGCACTCACGCCAACTGTGAATAACAACTACTTGGGGAATTCTTCTCCTAGCTGAGCAGCAGTCTAGTTTGGAGACCTGACATAATCTATAATCTATGATATCCTATCGTAGAGTTATGGTCTAACTTCAACAAGTTATGATCCTACTTGACTATGGCAATGGGAATTTATAGCAGTAAGATTTAATACTGACATGACTGAGGTAAAAATTATCACCAAATAAAAGACATTGCAATATAAACATGAAAAGTAAAATTTTGATGGTGAAAAAAAAAACCTTAAATTTTATGCACATGAAAATAATGGCTCTGATATTAAAGGAAAAAATAGTCAAAATTATGTACTCCATTAATCTATAATTATGCTGGGATATATCCAGGTATCTTCTTAAGATATGGAAACCATAACATTTGCTAAACTACACATTATTTGAAAATAATTGAACTTTAATAAAAAACTCATGTTCACAAATCTAAAAATATACATCTCAACATAATATATAACATCTAATTCATTAATATCTTTTGGTACACAGAAGACAGAGTATATACACCAAATACTTAAGTATAAGCTAGTAGAAATGCACAAATAATTACCAAAAAATCACTAAAATTTCTTTTTAGTTGTCAATACCTGAGGCATGGGGATATAACTCAATGGCACAGCACCTGCCTGGCAAGTGCAAGGTCCTGAGTTCAATTTCCAGTGAGAGAGAGACAGAGAGACAGAGACAGAGACAGAGACAGAGACAGAGACAGAGACAGAGAGAGAGAGAGAGAGAAAGAGAGAGAGAGAGAGAGAGAGAGAGAGAGAGAGAGAGAGAGAGATAGGTCACTACCTCCCAATCTGTAAAATAAGCACGAAAGACTCAAACAAAAGCTACAAAAATACTAAGCCTGCTGGAAAGTAAGTAATACATTTCATCCATGGTTTGGAGAGGATACAAAATTTTCTTTTACAAGTGATCATCTAATTTAAGTACTTTTTGGCTTTGGTACTGGACATCGAACTCATGACCTCACACTTGCCAGGCAGGCGCTGTGTTGCTGTGCTATACCTTTGGCCTTCGACTGTGAATGAAAGGTATAGATGCCAAGCTTAGAGAGTACTACTTAGAGAAAAACACAGCATCCTGTCAGCTCTACACCTGTGTTTAATGAAAACTCCATGTTAGGGCTGGTGTTGAAATGTCACTCCAAGCTGCATAGGGTCATAATGCTATTTCAGAGGTGGCTGGATCTAGAGTGTGTGATGCTGGGATTAAGTGTCTGTGATTGCTCATCAGTTCACTGATTGGTGTGGTGCTGCCCTAATCCCAGCACTCTGGATCAGATATAAGGGTCATTGCTAAGCCTGATTGGTTACTTTTGCTGCCTTGTGAGTGCCATGAACTGCTGCCCTGCCATGTGCCATTCTGCCATGCAGCCAGCTGATTATGGACTGAAACCTCTACAAAGTGTGAGCTAAACAAACTTTTCTTCTTTTAACATTAGGTGTCAGGTTATTTTGTCTCAGCAATGAGAGAAAAGTAATTAAGACACCCTACAAATATGTAATTCAGAGACTTCCTTAGCAAGTAAGTTACTGAAAAACATTGCATTTAAATTTCGTAGTATCTTTTTCTGGTAGTGTATATTCTGAGGCACTCTACACAGAAATATTTGACTTTGTGTCAACAATACATAAGACATTTTTCATAGGATTTGTGAAATACGCTTATATACACACATGGTTTCTCCCTAGTGTGAAAATGTGTGGCTTCTGAATGATTTTCCACAATGCTTACATAGGGCCCTTCACCAGTGTTGTTTTTTTCTTTTTTTCTGGTACTGGGGATCGAACTTGGGGACCTAACGTTTGCAGGCAGACGTTTAAGCCATAGTGTTCTTTTGATTTCAAAGTAATGTGTTATGAATGAATGCTTTTCCACACTGCTCACACATGGGGTTTTTCCTCAGTCTGAGTTCTTCTAAGAACTCAAAGTGATGTGTTAAAGTGAAGGCTTTCCCACATTACTCACATATATAGGATTTCTCCTTAGTATATATATTTTCATGTATTTGACAATATTTGTATACACTGAAAACTTTCCCACACTGTTTACATGAATAGGGGTTTCTCCCTAGTATGAATTCTTTCATGTGTTTGACAATACTTGCTTGTAGCAAATGCTTTGCCACATGTTTTACATACGTAAGGCTTTTCCCCTTTGTGACTTCTTTCATGTATTTCATAATACTTGTTTGTAGTGAATGCCTTGCCACACGTTTTACATACATAAGGTTTTTCCCTTTTGTGACTTTGTTCATGGGTTCGACAATGACTTTGTCTACTGAAAGCTTTCCCACACTGCTTACATACAAAGGGTTTCTCTCCAGTGTGACTTCTTTCATGTCTATACAATGAACTGCTGGTAATAAAAGCTCTCCCACATTGCTTACACACATAAGGTTTTTCCCCTACATGAGTTCTTTTATGTATTTGACAATAGCTGTATGTACTGAATGCTTTCCCACATTGCTCACATATGTATGGTTTCACCCCTGTGTGATTTCTCTTATGTCGACCCAATGAACCACTAGCAGTAAAAGTTTTTCCACACTGCTCACACATATAGGGTTTCTCCCAAGTGTGAATTCTTTCATGTCTTTGATAAAAACTGAGTGCACTAAAAGCTTCCCCACACTGCTTACAAACATAAGGTTTCACCCCAGTGTGCCTTTTTTCATGTATTTGAAGAAGACTGTGTGTGCTGAAAGTTTTTCCACATTGCTTACAAACATAAGGTTTCACCCCAGTGTGCCTTCTTTCATGTATTTGACAAAGACTGTGTGTTCTCAAAGTTTTCCCACAATGCTTACATACAAAGGTTTTCTCCGAAGTGTGACTTCTATGTGTTTGATAATGACTATATGTTCTGAATGCTTTCCCACATTTATCATGTTGATTCCAAGCTTTGTATTGATAGCTTTTCTCTACCTCTTCATTTCTGTGAAGAAATAAAAATAAACAAACCAATCACAATAAAGGGGTCTTATTATAATTGATTTACCAGAAGTACTGGTTTAATGCCCCTTAAGAATTTCTGACAACTAGGGGCCAGGGAGATAGCTCAGAGGCATAAGCACCTACCTGGAAAGCACAAGGATCCGAGTTCAATCGCTGGCCCCACATGCCATGCGGTCCTGGCCCTGGACGCCCAGGCATCCAGATACCTGGGTGGCCCCACAGATGTGAGCACTGACCATGTGGCCCTGGAACCGGCCATGGTGGCACACACCTATAATCCCAACACTTGGAAGGCTAGGACAGGAGGATATGAGTTTAAGCCCAGCCTGGGGGCTACAAAAATGAACATAAGGCCAGCCCAAACTGCATAGTGAAACAATGTCTAAAAAAAAAGGAAAAGAAAAAGAAAAGAAAAAAGGACTCTCTGGCAACTAATTGTTCTGGAAGATGCATTAAAAAGAGCTATTAAACACCCCGCCCAAAGTGATGTTTTTTGGGATTTTTACAATTGGTATGTTTGCAATACATGTTTACTTTCATTTTGGGGAATAATTCTATCACTTTTTACCCCTTTCCCACCAATCTCCCCATTCTCTCTTTTTGATCCTCTTACCATCTCCAAAAATTCTGTCTGTTTTCTACCACCTCTATTTTACTCCTAAATGTACACTTTGTGTTTCTCATATAAGAGAAACCATTTGATATTTAATGTCTGTGTGCCAAATATTTCATTTAACATTATGGGATAAAGGCCCTTCCATTTTGGGGGAATGAGGTTATCAAATAACATCAATTTAATCTTTTTTGACTGAAAATATAGCACTTTTTTGTAGTTTTTTTTTTTTTCCATCTGGAAATTAAACCCAAGATCTTAGTGCTAAACAACATTCTAGGTTTTAGAAAAATGTTTTGCGGAGAAAGGCTCTCATCAGTTAAGTTGTACTGCTGAGCTTCATGCTCTCATCTTGCTTCAAGAGCCACAGAGCATGAAACTAACAGCATGCAGTATGATGTGAAGAGCACCCCTAACGTTCTTTATCCCCGCATTTACTGATGGTAGCTACAGAGCTAGTAATTATGAACCATACTGCTTTGAGCATGGATCTGCGTGGATCTCTTTTGAAAATTTGCAAAAGAGAGAATCAAATGAAATCTCAATATTTACTTTTTCAGACATCTATACACTGATTAATATAGTGTCTGCATGTTAATCCCTACCAACAATACTGGAGTGCTTTCTAAGAATTTAAAAACATCAATGGATTCAAAACTCTGGATGATGGCTTAAAAACAGCTATTATTATTATTACTATTGTTGTTGTTGTTGTTGTTATTAGGAGCTGGGGAGATAGCTCGTAGCATAAGGGCCTGCCTGGCAAGCACAGGTCCCGAATTTGATCCCTGGTACCAAAAAGAAGTTATTTATTATTATTACTATATTTTTCTTTTCTTTTCTTTATTTTGCGGTACCGAGGATTGAACTCAGAACACTGCACTTGCCAGGCAGGTGCTTAAGCTGCTGAGCTATCTTCCCAGCCTGAAAACAGCTATTACTGAACACTAGCATTCATTTGGGTTTTGAACACTGCTCAGTTTAGTAATTCTGTGAACATTATTTCACATTCACATGTATATTTAATTAGATGTTCTAATAATGGGGTCCCATTAAAAGACTACATTAATTTTTCATACCCAAAGCCAAAATGTAATTTTATATATTTTCATTATGTTAATCATGGAAAAACAATTTTAATAGTGATATAGCATAGTGTCACCTGTTGCATAGTATCAGTACTTCAGTTCCAAATATAGGAATATTTCAGATATTCAACTGTCAAATTATGTAACTGAACCAGGGTACAACTTTAGAGAATTTGAGATTAACTAAATTTGAACATGGTTTCTTCTATACAGTTTGTGTGGCTTTAGTATTTCTGTCCACAGCCTGACTCTTAAAGAACATTTCCCTTTCTTGTGTGCAAAAATTACCTTAGATGTCTCCACGAATTTTTGTATTTTTCATCATTTTGCTGGTTCTCCCAGTTTCTTCCTGAATTGTAGACAGATATAAAATGAGTTAATATTTTTATATAAAAATGACTAGATACCAATTATAATATAACCACATGTAATGTGGCTATGCCTAGGATGTTGGCCAAAATAATTTTACATAATGAAATGTAAAATGTAATTTTAAATAATGAAAATATGCTAATGTCCAAGAAAAACTGTGCTCCATATAATTTAGAATATGAGCTCATTCTTACCTATAGCAGCCATGTTCTGTTGGATTTCTCTCATCACATCTCTGTAGAGCTTCTTTTGGGATGGATCCAGCAAAGCCCACTCCTCCAAGGTGAAGGTCACAGCCACATCCTCAAAGGTCACTGACTCCTAAATAATCACACATACCATATTTCCAGAAGGAAGGCTGAGACTGTCTGGAACATCTCAACTTTACACAGAAGGAGCTGAATTGAGGCTGAATCACTATATATATATATATATATATATATATAAAATACATAATGTAATACATGATATATAGTATAGTATTATAAAGCATATACTATATACGATAATATAGTGTTATATAATATCGCTTTTTTTGAGACAGTATCTCACTATGTAGCTCAGGTTGGCCTTGGACTCAATATGCAACCCAGACTGGGCTCCAAATCATGGCAATCCACCTTCCTCAATGTAGGGCTATAGTTATGCAACAGCAGTCCTGGCTTGAATCATTTAAATATTAACTTCACGTTTGGGTCATCAAATTCTTACACTCCATCTATATGTATACCTTCACTCACAGCAATTCTGATGCTAGACGGTAATATATTGCTAAAGCACTAGCAGAGTAAGAATGCTGCTTGTCCTGCTGGTCAAGCAGTTGTCCCTAGAGCACAGCTCACAGAAGGAGCCTACAAGATCACCATGCACAAAACACTAAGGTAAATAAGTATTAATCAGTTGCTTTGATAATCATGGGAAATGAAATTGCGTTTTTTTTCTATTAGTACACTGGTAGTACTTTTAAAGTTGAATCTGCTTTCATAGAAAAATTGATTAACATCAAGATTTATAAATAATAATCAAAACTTCTAGTGGAAAACTAGCTGTACTGGAGGATTCTAAGGACAATGAAACTAGATGAAGGATGGCATATTATTTTACAGCTCAGTGACACCAAATGTTATTCACATGAATGTAAGAAACTCCAGAGGGGTTTAAGGTAGAGTGAGGAGAGGAAGAATATGATAAAAAATATATGCACTGAAAATCAGTATTTTACAAAGTTATTTGGGCACTTATAATAAAAGTAAAAATTCAAGAAAAACATCATTTCAATTCAAAATCACACCTTTGCTTTTTAAAAAAATAAAACAAAAAATTGCTTAAAGCTGCTCAGTACATTAAAAGTCTAATAGTGTTCAATACCTTGTAAATATTATGATACCTTGTATACTAAACATACAGAAAATGACCAATAGATCACAAGAAGACAGTTTTTAATGAGCCTTCAGGTAAATACAATACTGATTGATGATGGAGCTGGTGAGGTATAACCCTGGAGGAAATCACAGTCCATTTCATATACAACCAGGGGAGAAGCAGGTAGGTACTTGGAAATCTGTACTATATACTCATCATTTCTATGAACAACAATAATGTTAAATATTGAAATGGGAAAGAGAAACTTGAATGCCTGAAAGTTCATAATGAAATAAGGATTTTTTTTTTTTTTTTTTTGGTTCCTCGAATGCCTTCAGGGCACTTTTGGCCAGCTGGAGAGGTGTGAGGTTTGAACTCCAGCAACCTGAGGCTGACAGCTTTGTGGAAGCAGCCACTTAAAGGCCTGAGCTAGGGCCAGGCCCCCTCCTGAAAGTTCATAATGAAATGTTAGATGTGAGAAAAGGTTTCTTCAGAACAAAGTAAGCCATCAGAATATAAATAAGAAATTTAAAACTATAAAAATCATGGGAGGGAAATGTGACAGGAAGAAGTTTGCAGAGTATAAATATTCACAATGTGTTTACAGAGTAAAGATCATAAAACACAAATCTTAAAAATGACTAAAATACATCTAACCCAAGAGAAAACAACAGATTTAAAACAAGACTCATGACCCTGGTTGAGGAAATGGCCAAGGAAAATGGAACTGTGGAAGAATACAAGCGTTCAAGAATACAAGGTCAATTAATGTACTCCACACTCATTCCCTACACTTTGGAGTTTACCAAAATCTACAGTGCAATGATATTTATTCCAGTGTCCAAAGAACACACCATGCTACTGTTCCTGGGAACATGTGTGATTCTTTGTATATCAATAAAAAATAAACTTGAAAAAACTTGAACCACACGTTCAGAGGAATGAGTGACAAAGCAATGTGTCCCACACTCACATAAGAGCACCTGTAAACAACGAGACAATGAAAACCAATACCAAACAAACCCAAAGCCCAACCTACGCAATTTCTATGAGTCGCTTATTGAAGATGGCAAGGTGGGAAACTAAAGATTACTGCTCAAAGAAAACCACACTACTAAGTGTAGGAAATGCAGCCACATTAGGAAAGTGGTCATGTTTGAGGCCAAAAAGGAGGAGCCACGTAAAGCAAAACCAGGATACCCTTATCCACTGCATGTATTGTTTGTATTGTTAGAGTTCACCAATTTTTTTTTTAATTTTTATTTATTTATTTATTTATGTGTGTGTGTGTGTGTGTGTGTGTGTGGCCAGCTCAGTCCACCAGGGGGCAGGGCTGACTGGCATGTGGTGCTGGGGGATTGAACCACGTTCCCTGTGCTTTGCTAAGCTTGTTCTAAGTAGGTGCTTTAGACCACTGAGCCATCTCACCAGCCCCATCACATCACCAATTTTTTACAATATAGTTTATTGTAAAATATTTAAACACTAAATTACCACTAGGAAAGTATATATTAATTTTTATCTATCCAACTTCAAACACAAAAAGACAAAATGTAACTCTGAGCTCAAGGCCAGCCTAAACTATATAGAAAGACATTGATAAAAGAGAAAGAAAAGGAAAGGAAAACAGGTCAGAAAGTAAGAGAAATAGAGCACAGACATCAGAGCTGATCAACATCTAGACATCCTGCTTACGGTGAAAACTCTATGCCCATTTACAGAGGAGGGGTTATTACACTGATACTGAGAGGGTAGGGCAGAAAAATCAGAGGACACACAAATGAGGATTAGTCATGTCACCTAGAGCTCAGGCTAGCCTTGGAAGGCCTCTCAAGCAGGTACTAAGTGTCACCAGACAACACAGCTGCCAGCTCCACAGCTATGAATCCCTGGCTGTAATCACATCATCTCCAAATGAAACAGAAATGGAAGGAGTGCTGAGGATTAAACATGGTTAAATATAAAACAACTCACACATTTCAATTTTCCAGTTCAAGAAGAATATAGAAGAAAATCTATCAAAAGAAAAAAAGCAAACAAATTAAAAAACCAAAAAAAAAAAAAGAAAAAGAAAAAGAAAAACTCCACAAAACTGCACTAAACCAATCCATTCCCCACCCCCCCAAACTGGGAAACAAAGGAAGTCCGTTGACAGAAGCATAAATTACACTGACAGAACGCTAGGAAAACTGTGCTAGGGAGACTTTCCTTTAAATGGGAGTTATTTTAAACACAACTGAGGGAGCACATGAGAGCACAAATTAGCAAACAAGATTCAACTTTGTGTCCTCTGTGAGAAAAAAATTCTTACAGGAAAGAAGGAATGGATATACTGTTCAAAATTTTTAATTTTATTTGGGCAGGAAAAATAAGACCCTTATTGTACATGACTGTGAACATTGGTAACACTAATTTACCCTGTGAAATTATCAAGGATTCAACATAAAGTGTTCTCACTTCAAACAAACTAGTTTGTGAAATGTCTGCTCAGGTTTGCCAACTGACAATGTATGTTTCAAAGCACCACACATTAAATTATATACGTACTTAATTTTTATTTCTCAGAAATGTATACAAATATTTTAAAAATACAATAAACTAAACAGATAAAGCAAGATAAAATAGCTGTGTAAAAAGATACAGCAGTCTACCATTAATTCAGTAAAACATGTTGAGGCTATGTTAATTTGGTACTATTCAATCTAACATGTAATTTTGCACCAAGGATAAAACAGGATTACTAATTGTAAACATTATATCACATGCAGCACAGAGTGACGAAGAAACTTTACAAATATTAGAAGCCCACACTTGAAAGACATTCAACTGAGATATAATCAAGGAATGCAAGATAAAATTCTAAAGAAAATGTTTAAATATAGATAGATATAAATAAAATTGTTCCATGTGTTTAAAAATTTTACAATAAAGCAGAACATACGTGTAATATCAAATAAAAATTATGTGAAAAAATTCTACAAATTTAAAAATTTTCTATAATGTCCGCATTAGCATTACTATTTTGTGAAAAATCTTAATTAACAATTGCAGAAGATAAATTAACACTTTTACTAACAATCAAAATTTTAAAGACAAACAACACCCCCCCTCAAAAAAAAACCCTAGAAATAACCCAATTCCAGAGCCAGTAGAATAAAGGAGTGAAGTGGCTGAAATACAACCCTCCCTAAAATCCTCGGCCAACAGGCCACAGATAACTCTTTTCCACATAATACTGTTAGATTATTCAAAAGTAGTAACTCATATATCATTCTGAAGAGTTAAAAACAAATAATACAGTACTTGACGAGAGTATGAAAAGAGCTTCCAAAAATCCATCCATGACCAACTTGGAAGTCATTAGATAAAACCAGAGATACACTGAGATTAACTATAGTTGATGATTTGTTCACAAACATGATTATCTCTCTCTCTCTCCCTCTTTCCCTCTCTCTCTCTCCCTCTCTGCCCTCCTTTTCCTCCCTCTCTTTTATCTATGATAAAAAAAAAAGTAGTTTACTTTTAAAGTTCCTCTTGACTCTTCAAATGTAATCAATTCTCCACTCAGTTTTTGGTTGCTTTTTTTTTTGGTGGAACCGGGGATTGAACTCAGGCCCTTGCTCTTGCCAGGGAAGCGCTTATTCTACTGAGCTATCTCCCCAGCCCCTCCATTCAGTTTTTAATTGAGAAAAACCACTCTTTTAATTAAATCATGAAAATTAAGTCTTAGATCTTTGAGGTAACTTCTATTTTATACAAATAACTTGCTGCAAAAGAAGTAAAAGGGAAACAGTTCCGTGAAGAACCCTCTTCACTGCTGTTCAAAAGGGAATCCACAGAAAAGGTTAGATACTCCTTCCACACCACTCTAATTATGTTCATGCAGCCCAGAGTGGTTCGCCAGATTAGTCAGGAAAAGGTTAAGAAATTTAGGTCTGGAAACTTTTCCCACCTTACTTAACCTGCCTCCCAGAATAAGATTGATCCCTTGGCTGCAAACTCAATTTACAACCTCAATATTCATGCATAGTCAGCAGAGGGTTGAATTTGCTCTTTTCACAATTTCTTTTCTTTCTTTTTCTTTTCTTTCGTTCTTTTTCTTTTTCTTTTTTTTTTTTTGCGAAACCAGGGATTGAATTCAGGCCCTTATGCTTGCCAGGGAAGCGCTTATTTTACTGAGCCATCTCCTGGGCCCCACAAATTCTTTTTTGAACTCAAATACATGTTGTTCACTGAACACAAAGAAATTCTACAACAGGAAATGGTGGGCCCCAAATTTAATATTCTCATCATTCAGTGTTACCACAATTTTGAGTTTCCAGGCTTAGTTCACTGCTCCAATTGCAATTTGTTCTAGGCAGCTGAATTAGATAGAAATATTTTAGGCAGTCGGACAGGGACAGGCCCTCAGAAGGAACCAGTATGGAAGACAAGATACCCGGCAAATGTGGGAGAGACAGACACTCCTGCTGAGGCCCAGACCTCCAGACAAAAGATCAAACAAATGAATACCTCTCTAAGGATAAACATCAGGGATTGATATTCTAAATAGGTCTCTGTCACCTAGAGGAAGCCAGGAAGAGTCCCTAGCCCATCCCACTATAGGAAAAGCCTGCTTGCTCTGTGACTCCTTTACCTTTTGATCCTGATTTAATCAATATAACCTGAGCAACTATGCTTGTAATTTTGCTGGTGGACCACAGTTTTGTCCTACCTCATGCCCATCCAGTGAGTTCCCATGTTTCTACCTTAGACCCACCTCACCTCATGCTTTTGCTGTATAAAAGATCCCTAATAAAGGCAGATTCCTTGGAAACCCATTTGGGTCCCATTCTGTCCCTGTCTTAGACAGATTTCTTTCCCTCAATAAATATATTCTGCTTTTAACTTTTGTAGTTCCTAAAATTCATTTTTTGGTTTTAGAGAACACGAACTTATTCCAGTATTTTTCAGGCTGGTAGTTTTATTCCCTTCTATCATGTCCAAAGCATATCATAATGTATTGCATCATACGTCATCATCCTGAGGTTATCAAGGGGTGGCACACTGAGTCATCCCATCAACAGAAATGAATGTATTGCCTCAAAGTGGCTTATAGTACGCAAAAGGACAAAGATTTCATTAAATTACAATCACGTTAGGTTCTCTGTTTCAAAATCTAGGAAAAAAGAATTAAAAAAATTTTTTTTTCTACACACCATCTCCAGTTTACAGACACACATCTAGGCCAGAAAGACTCCTATATCTTTCAGGTTGGTCCTTAGACATTCTCAATGGATACAAATTACTACTTTCTGGACATGAAAACAAATAATTGATGACATTTAATTTAACCAAGACTGTGATCTACTGGGCTACAGAAGTAGAACTCTAGCAGTTTGGTGATCCACACCTATTTTGGGAGGCTGAAAGAGTCTCACAAATTCAAGGTCAGCTAGGCAATATAGTGAGACCAAGTATTAAAATTTAAAATAATGATACTAAAAATGTAAAATGAATGGAAAGGTACTGGATTTCATCCCCAGTACCACAAAAAAATTGCCTGTAATCCTTTTCATCATTTAGTAACACCCTTCTGATTACCCTTTCATGCTGTCCACCCCACAGTTTAACCCACAACAAAGACAGACAAAATTTCTAAAATTGTTTAAAAAAATGATGAGGTGACATTAGCAGTTACAGAAGACTTATTCATCTAACTCTCCTAAATTTCTCTCAAATCTATCACACTGAACTACTTTCAAAGTGAGCCAGCATATAACTGATACTAATGTCACCCCAAGAAAATTCTCCAATGAAAGCCACCAGTTCAGGAGCCAATTGGACTACCCTCCATCCTCCTCTGCTTTCCCACATTCCATCTACTGCATGTGGTTGGGATAAGGAGTTAAAATAGAGATGTGCGCAAGTGGGTCGAGGAAAACAGGACTGCAACAGCAGAGGGAGTAACAAAGAACCCCTGGAACTCCTCAAGGACATCCTGTTTTTGTGTCCTTGCTCTCAGATGCCCAGCAGGATGTCATGTATAGCTTAAACATTAATCTTAGGTACACAGGATAAGATTTTGTTCTGTTAACTGAAAGTAACCTAAAGGCTGAGACTCAGTATATCAGAAAAAGACTAAAGGCAGAGCAGCAGCCTTTTGCTCGAGCCCTTGCTTTGCTTGCACTAAGGGTCCATGTGTCCCGGTCTGCGGCTGGTGCCCGAGTTTTTCCCAGCACTTTGCTTCTCTGACACAAAAAATCCTGCATTCCCCCTGCTGCTTTTACACAAAGTCTTACCACACTAAGCATGTTGTTTTCAAAAACACAATGTCAAAAAAAAACAAACAAAAAAAACCAAAACACAATGTCTACAAACACTCTTGGATTATAGCAATTGTATGAGACATGGTACCCTTCTCTCTACCTGTAGCAAAAATCACAGGTATGAATGGCTTACTTCCTAAGAGACCCATAGTGAGTTTAACAGGCAGCACTTTCTCAAAGTTGACCTTAGCAGGATCACTTTCATCTTCCCTTCTTTTGTGGCCAACTTTGATCCAATTTTCTTGGTAATCTAGAGTACACAGGGTTCTGTTTATTTATTATTATATTACATTGCCATGGGTATATCACGGGCATCTAAGCATCCTTGGCTGGTATTCTGGTACTGAGCCTCATCATAGGCAATAATAAACATATATTCACTTTTTTCATGGCCTTTATAAATACTCTATAATGACTTAGGAAATGTGGAAAAAAGGTTAAAAATTCTGGACTTACTTGAACTAGTATGGAGCTGAGATATAATCTGTGTACAATTTTTAAGTGTCTTACCAACTTTCCTGTCATTGGGGCAAATACTCAAGATCTACAACTTACAGAAATTTAGTATAGTTCACTGTTTCAGTCACATGGGAGATAAAAATGGCACTTAAGGTAGGGCATCCAGACACCTGAGAAACACGGGAGGAGATACAGACCAGGCAACACTTTTCCAGGCCATGCTCCTAGCTGCCAACATCTAACAAAGTGAAGCCTCCTAAAAGCACACTCAGATACTGAACTCATGAATATATGAACCAACTGATGATGACAAAGCCTTCACAAGCAAGTCATCTTTCAAACTCATGAGACACTTAAAGGAAAATTTAAATATAAACCATAATAGCAGAAGAGCTATTTAAAAAACAGGGAACCCAGCAGCATAGCCACACCCACAGAAAACTCACACAGCGGTCATGAGTCCTTCCACCTTCCCCCTTCCATCTCACTGCAGTATGATAAGACAGGGCTCTGGTACAGTAAATTATCTCACTGGGATACAATAGTGTGCTTAGGCCCTGGCAGCAATCTCAGGATCACCCAGATGATAGGACCAAATGTGCACCAGTGACAACTGACAGAAGAACAAAGTTTTCTCAGGTGAACGCTAGTTCTATACACTTCGAATGAAAACTAGTGCCTGCAGCATAAACCCCACTCCTGTCTTGGATTGCTCAGCGCCCACACAATCACCAGTTCCACGACTGGGGGTCTTTCAGAGTCCATGCACTTGCAGTCAGTAGAATCCAAACAGCAAGTTAGGGTAAGCCGATGGAACAACTCTCCATAACTCACTGCGAGCTCCTGATTTTGGTGCCTGACACAGGGGTATTTCCTTCTCTGGCCAGCATGCCGGACAAGGTAGTTCATACAACACAAACTCTTCTTCAATGATGTAATGCTGCTCTGTTTCTTGCCCACTGAGGCAAGAAGAACAAGAGAAAAAACAAAAACAAAAACAAAAAATCAACTGCATGTAAAGGCCAATGATAGATTCTACCCCAAACCATTCCTCCTCAAGGCTGCATCCCTTGATGTTGGTGCGACCTGGCCTGGGGAATAAGTGCACGGAAGCAGAATTAGCTCCCAGCTTTGCAGAGCAATGTCTTTTTGCTGCACACAGTGCTCTTCTGGAGTGTTGTTGTTGAAAAATGCAAATAGAACAGTGCTCCTATACTTCCCAACTCAATGTCACATGAAGAAAATCCCCAAAATAAAAACCTGGGCCTGCACAAGAGCAGGAAGAAATGGAATAGAAGGAGTGTCCCAGTGTTGTCAGACGGGAGAAAATTAAATGAGACACAGGACTTATGGGTCAGGCTCAGCCAAAATGGAGACAACTGTTTCTCTTCCAAAAAGTTGCTCAGGTGGTCTTCCACACCACTGACTTAGCAGGTACAAGGACACACAAGCTCAAGAATGAGAAGGTGCCAGGATAGGTAAACAAAGACCACAAGAGGCACCAAAACTCTACTTCGGCACTGTAGAACCACCTGAGCAACTCTTTGGAAGAGGAACAGTTGTCTCCATTTTGGCTGAGCCTGACTCATAAGTCCTACGTCTCATTTAATTTTCTCCCATCTGACAACACTGGGACACTCCTTCTATTCCATTTCTTCCTGCTCTTGTGCAGGCCCAGCAGTGAGACAGAGCAATGAACTGTGTCTATGCTTCACATTCTTTCCTTGTCTCTACCTGCACTACATTCCATATTTCACTGGTGTGAAAGTAAAGGTGGCCGCACTGTCTGATTCTCTGGGATGATAACCACTGAGAGAAGTAAAGGCCAGACTCAGGGGTGCCTGAACTGACGCTGTGTGCTTTATCTTAGCAGTGCCCTTCTCTGTAAGCCACTCTCATGGGCTTCTCCAGAATACCAACACGGAAATTCTGTCCTAAGAGTAGAGAATTCAGGAGACACTTGGAGGGATTTCAGGGATCACAATCTTTTTTCACTCATGGAATATGCAACAAAGGCTCATCGTCGTATCTTTCCCCAGAGATAAAAATCACTGCAAATGGGAAAGTCTTGGAGTGACAGTGCTAAACAGATGTGCCTTCACACCATTAAGGCCATGGCAAAGTGGACAACTCAGTGCAGAAAGGCAGGTACTGACAAGAGGCTAAAGCAGCAAGAAGGGTTCCCAAAATGGCATACATTTGAACTAGACCCGCAAGTTTTCTCTTTAGTCTTACACCTGCTTGGTGGCTTGTTCAAACTGCTTGATCCTTGTGTCTGTTCAATGAAAATTTCTGTCCTAAATCCTTCATCATAATGATGCTAGCTAGACAGTATGATCAGAGTGGGACACCTCTTTATAATACAAAACAATAAAAACAACAAAACACAGAGTGATCCTTCCTCTTCCAAAGAGTACATACACTATTCTTCTGATTTGGCTCCTCTGGAGGACCTGATTAATACAGCACTCAAAACAGGAAATAACCTGTGTCATATTCTACAGAGGACTTTCTATAGAACTAAAGGAATGAGTTTACAGACACTGCTTGAGTTAGAAAAAAATCTTACTCAATCCAAAGGAACTTAAAATATATTGACATTGCACAGAATATACTGATTAAGCAAACATTATTGCTAGGCCTTTTATTCTTTTCAACTACTCAACACCCCTTCATTTGTTTTGTTTTTTTTTTTTGGGGGGGGGCTATTTTTTTAGGGAAGGGTCTACAAGGTGTTCGGGGTCTCACTACTAGATCAGACTCGTAGCAATCCACCTGTTTACAGCCTCTCCAGAGCTGGGATTACAGGCACGTGTCACCATGCCCAGTCTCAATCAGTCTCAGCATGCCCTGGGGGCGGGGCTTGCATGGAAGGCCTGGGGATTGAACCCCAGGTCCCTGAGCCTGCTTGCAGGCACTTTAATCCACTGAGCTATTTGGCCAGCCCTTGTATTTGAAAAAATTTATGTACCTGAAAGCCAAAGTATAATAAAATACTGAGTGTTTCATGTACTTTACTGAGTGCAGTGCATGGTAATTCACTTAGGGACTGATACCTTTTTTTTTTTTTTTTTTTTTAGCGGAACCAGGGATTGAACTCAGCCCTTGCACTTGCCAGGCAAGTGCTTATTCTACGGAGCTATCTCCCCAGCCCAGGGATTAATACTTACTAGAGACTTTACCTTAATATAAAGATAAAAGTCCCAGAATTTCTATTTCATATGGAAACAGGGTCACACTCAGTTGTCCAGTCTAGAATTGGTGTTGTGCTACTTCTGTCTCAGTCTCCCAGGCAGCTGAGGCAAGCATGTGCACCACAATGCATCTTCTTTGCCCAAGTACTATTGCCCTGGTGAGTCACCGTAATGAAACAGTCCCTCTCTGAAGCTGGGACAGCGGCACAAGCCCTTCCCTGCAGCAGTCCAACAGGGAAACAGCACCAAAAGCTCGCCCTAGCGTGAGAAGCTTAATAAGACCTAGTCTCAAAACTTAAAAATACTTGTGCTGTCCATGCTGTTCAGCCAGTCCCTGGCTTTAAGGAGGTCTGCCTCGTGCCTGGGTGGCACGATACTGCTTTGGTGGAGTCTGACAAGGAGGTGCAGGCAGGGGCCACTTGCAACACCCTGCAGAGCTTCAAAATCACTCAGAACAGTGTAATGAAGATCTCTGCCAAGAAGTAGCATGTTTTCCCCAGGCCCTCCCCTGCTCTGGGGCTGCCCCTCCCTGCTGGCTCAAGCCTTCTTGGAGCCATGTGTAAATGTGTGGTCACCATACAGCACTGTACCCAGAGTGTGTCCCCAGACATTGCACCTGGCACTGTTAGGCTGGAATGGAAGTGTTTTTGGAGGTGTGTTTTACACACACACACACACACACACACACACACACACACACACAAATTTAGAGAGGTAATTCAGAGCAAAATACTTGAGTTTAGTTCTTGTACAATAAAATATCAAGCATACCTTGAAATCTTTTGCATCCTGGAGAAACCTCCTCTCAGTGTACCTTGGTGATGATGCCTGCCCTATTTTTAAAACCACACTAAGGCAAGACAGTTTCCTGATTTCCAATTTTGCCACAGAAATGATTGTACAAACTGATTAGTAGTAACAGAATATATTTCCCTATAATACAGTCTCCTTTTTTCAGGCCTGTGACCCCAGTTTGACTCACTCTCAGAACTTTTGGCCAACAACCCTTCCTTTATGTCACACTAAGAACAATCTCATCTCCAGAGAAGACCTTCTCTGTTGCAGGTGCTAACATTGCCACCTTCTGTCATCCCCTTCCCTCCCACCCCTTCTTTCCATCCTACATGGAAAACTTCTTAGGCCTAACCATTGCTAAGCCTGCACACCTTGCATTTGGGGCTATAACCCCGCTCCAGTACTCCTATATATAAAATCTACCTCAAAGAGCATTTCAACATTGAAACAGTGTTTACATTTTGGCCAAGAACTATGGCCTGATTACTTCTGAGATGCACCATGTGCCCATTCCACTCATTCTCATACCCACATATATGTCTGTGCGAGTGTCCCAGAATAATTTTTTATTGTTGTTTTGCTGTATGAGGAGTCTAGGAACTCACTGAGTGCTTGGCAAGTCCTCCGCCCACTGAATCACATCACCAGTAATGTTAAACCTTTGCTTGGATTCTCATGGCTTTTATCAACACCTACCATGAGTTTGGCAATACTGGGACACATTAAAAGTTTAGGAAATCAGTATAAATATATATAAAAAAGCAGCAGAATTCTGAGGAGTTGAGTTATGTGTAGGAGACACTGTATCACAATCATTTATGAGCTTCAGGTCGTCCAGGTCTGCTGCTTGGAGGAAGGAGACCAGGGACCTAGAACACCACAGCTGCACCCAGCTCCAGCCCACAGCGGAGTTAGGGTCTCCCCGAAGTCCCCGATCTCCGCAGCCTAGTGGAGACGTAGCTAGGGCTGGGGCTACCCCGATCGCCTTCTCGGCTGGCAGTACTGCCCCGGGGACTGGGGATCCGGAACAGACCCTGCTCCCGCACAGAGCACAAGGGACAAGGGCTGACTGGGCCAAAGAAGAGGAGTGTCGGGTTCCCGAGCCCGTCCCCGCCCAACTAGAAAAGAAAAGCTCTCCAGACCAGTTCCCAGCCCACGTTCTCCGCGCACAGCCGTAAACAGGACACCCGCAGCAGCTACACTGACGGGCGCCGACTGCGCGAAAAACCCCGAGATGCGCTGTGCCCGGCGCCCTCTGCTCCCATCGCCGCCCTGTTTATCAGGGGGGACCAGAGCGGAGACCCTAACTGTCAGAACTTCCCACCCTCAGCCGAGGATACCCTCCTCTCCTGGTTAAACTCCCCAATAAAACTCACCCTCGCCCCTGGCTCGTCCTTGGCCCGTCTGCACCCGGGCTGCTGAAAAAGTCCTCGCCTGTTGCTTAAACCCGGCCTGCCTCAGCGGCCTCAATTGCACCTCGGTTTGCCCTAACAAGGACCGTGCGATCTGGAGCTCGGCGGGGAGTCTAGCTCCTCGTGGCTGGTTCCGGCCACTTCCATCCAGGCCTCTCCCGAATTCCACCCCATCCCAGGGCTCATCCCACAACGTCACCATTGCTTGGCTTGAGGCACTCCCAGGGTCCTTCCGCACAGCCCGCAGAGAGCAGAAGTCACTGAAGAAGGCAGTCTGATCAGCTGGGAAGCTCTCGGCAACACGGGGCGACGATTAGGCACCATGACACCGGAAGAGCCCGCCCGCCTCGGCCCACCTGATTGGACGGTTCATGGAGCCCGCCCGTCATCGCTGATTGCTCCTGCTCAATCGCCATGCTTTGGAGACAAGAGCGACAAACAGACGCTTACGTGTTTGAAAGAAACCCAAATGCAAGATTGTAACCTGCAGACTTCTTGCACCAGTCTCTTCCTCATGATGTTGATAATTGCATTTAAATAATTCTGAATTTTCAGAGCTGCCCATACTTACTTAGTAGACCCTAGCCTTTTCCTGAGAATTAACGGGATTACATTTGTAAAGAATTTTAAATGTTGCTGATTAAGTTAAAAACTAACTTTTTCCACGCGTAGACCGAGCATCTCTTTACTGGTCTTGCAGTAGATAGCCAGTATACATTCTATTTTTCTCTAATTTAGTGTAACCATCTATTCTTATTCTTTCTTACTCTCCCTCACTAGTTGAAGCTTTCATTATTTATAAATGACTCTAGCCTAGGTCTTTTAGAGTGTCAGGGGCTCTTGTCTTAAAGAGTGTAGAGTAGGGCTGGAGAGATGGCTCAGTGGTCTAAAGCACCTACTTAGAACAAGCTTAGCAAAGCACAGCGGACCGCGGTTCGATCCCCCAGCACCACATGCCAGCCAGCCCCGCACCCTGGTGGGCTGAGCTGGCCACACACACACACACACACACACACACACACAATAAATAAATAAATAAAGAGTGTAGAGTGGACCCTGTGGAGGGTTAAAAGACCAGAGCCCCTTTTTAGAGGATAGAAAATGCAGGCTCTTTGTGGCTACGGAGCAACAAGCAGTTTCCAAGGAGTTTTGTGGTTTAGAGCTGACACTTGTGGTTTTGAAACCTGCCTCTGTCTAGACAACGCTGTACCTCCTAATTTAGGTTGCCATGCCTACCCAAGTTCCCTCATTAGCCCACAAGACCAAACCCCTAGCAACAAGGCCAATATCCAGTCAACCAAATGATTATCCTCCTGTGGTTGTGGTGGAGACAGGACCCATGAAACGTCCTATTCCCCATCCTGTGGTGGCAGGATGAGAGAGGGAGTATTGGAACAGTGAGAAAGAGAGACAGGCAGGCACATAAAGTAATGATGGGATGTGGCTGATGTTGCAGATGGTTATAAAAATGACCACCTGCTTATTAGAAGAAATTGCCCTTTGAGAAAACTTTAGAAGTGTAAAACAGTTGTTTTTAGGGACCCATTTCTGTACACTGGATACCCCCTAAAACTCCATGAGCTTTAGCTCACCCCAACAACAAAGGCTAAAAATATGATTGGTTTAGAACTTCTACAAGAGTGAACAAAACAAAGACACAATCTCAAGAAGCTCCATCCGGCTTCTCACTATTATGCAGCTTGTGGCTCACCAGCTCTGTGCCTGCCTTCACAATCCTGCCTCACATCCCTTTTCCTTCTGAGTTCCCCATCCTGTGCAGGACGGCCTGACACTTTCATTCTGTGCTAGTGGGATCTTCATTTTTGAATCACCCTCGCCTTGATCCTGCTTTCCTATCAGGATGAGGGCAAGAACCAGAAAAGCAGAGTCTTTTCATGAGAAGATCCTTGCCTCCAAGACCCCATCTGTCACAACAAGAGGAATCCTGGCAATCATTTGTAACTCTCCAGGGATGTTTTATAATGTGATATTTGCCCCACATAGACCTTGTGTCCACATGGAAGAGAAACATACACACTCAAAGAAATTTTTTTTTTCAGTTAATTTACCCAACTTCTCTTCCTTTCCGACTCTCCTATTTAAAAAGGCAGACACGGGGTGTGTGTGTGTGTGTGTGTGTGTGTGTGTGTGTGCAGACCTGCTTGAGTTGGAGGAAGAGAGGGAGAAAGGGCAGGGGAGGGGGGAATGAGAGAGGTAGAAATTGGTACAGTGGTATGGAAAATGGTAGAAAAAAAACATAGGTAGTATCCCCCAAGCGCAGTAGTAGTAAGCCTATAGCACAAATATTATATTTTCCTTTTAAGGCAAATGTATTAATGGTTTCTAAAATTTAAAACCTCAGAATTCTGGTTTAATTTCAATGTAGGCACTCTGGGATAAGTAAGTGGGTTCTGGGTTTCAGTTGGGTACTTGGTCTCTAAAAGGTTTGCAGGGGCCGGGGAGATAGCTCAGTAGAATAAGTGACTGCCTAGCAAGCACAAGGGCCTGAGTTCAACCCCTGACTCCACAAAAAAAAAAAAAAAAAATCTAAAAGGTTTGCCATCACTGCAGGAAGGTGTTACTTGGAGTCTAAGTTTTGCCACCAACACTTGCTCCAGTCACCCAAGCAAAGCACCTCCTTATGGAAAAAATGGAGTTAGCACAGAGAAAAGAATACCCTTCTAGCTTTGCCACAAGTTTATTAAAACTGTATGTGGGAGCTGGGGAGAAATCTCAGAGGTCTAAGTGCCTGCCTGGAAAGTGCAAGGACCCAAGTTCATCCCAAGTACCAAGTACCACATACTGTGCCAGCCCCGCCTAGAAACCAGGTGTGGGGGTGCACGCCTGTAGTCCCAGCACTGGGGAGGCTGAGACAGGAGGATCTCTCTAAGTCTGAACTGTGTAATGAGACTCTGTATCAAATAAATAAATAATTATTTATTTAAAAAAAACTCCATGTGGGAAGAGACCTCTAATGTTCAAAAATATACACAAATTGGTAAGTGACATTACTGTGAGGCAGGTAGTTAGACACTAGTGAGCTTGAGGGACAAGGATGTGGGTCCAAAGTAGTGTGCTTTGCTGGTTAATTAAAGAAAGACTGCAATATATAATGCACATACAATCATTTGTTAGGTCTTGTACCCATAGTGACTTCATAAAGCATGGTGACATCTTAAGGTTACACACTACATGTTTCTTCTAGCACCTATAGAAGTGATTTACTGCTTACTCTGTTGAGTCCAGCTTTTGTCAGGAAGGGTGTGGTGTGACTTGAGACTTAGACTTCTGAGTGTCCTGTGGAAATTAGGGGATAGCTTCATTCACCAGAAATTACTATTGCTGTCTATCCTGTGCATTTGCTTGTAGTAATACTAGAAATTAAAACTAAAGTATAATTTTGCAGGGAAAAAAATTAGTTGGAAAGCTAGAGAGAAGATAGGAAAGCGAAAGATCAAAAATCGAGGCAGCTGAACACATGCAGAACCGGACCAGATGCACTGACACTAGTGAAAGCATGTCTGTTGGAAGCTGGCACCGAGGAAGCTCACTCAGAGGGCTGTCTTGCAGAACAAGACAGCTCTGAACAAAGAGGGACAGGAGACTTCATAGGCTCTTTTAGAGAGGGTAATTGCGGGCTGGAACAGCCAGGTCGGAGGTGGACATTATTTGTCTTCTGTGTGGAGGGTAATTGCGGGCTGGAACAGACAGGTTGGAGGTGGACATCATTTGTCTTCCTTGTGCTTGAACTTTGCTTAAGTCAGAGTCAGGTGGACCTGTTCTGTGGTTTTTGGGTTTGGCTGTGCATGAGGCCAAGGGGGAGAGAGTTTAGGGGCAGGGTTCCTGGGAGACCAAGACGGAGAGTGTTTGTGGCAGGGTGCCTGAGAAACTCTGAGTCCTGACCTATCAGAAAGGACTCTGGCTTAGGTAGCTAAAGAGGGCGCACTCTGATGCAGGGGTTCAGACTGGCCCACCCAGAAAGGCAAGAGGCCAGGTTTCAAGGATTGGCTGGTGGGCTTGAGTTCAGTTTGTCATTACTGCGGTCCTGCTCATGTCATAGATCTAGAGCAACTGCGCACTGCCATGCCAGAAGCAGACTAGCAGGACAGGGCCGAAAGCGCATGGCAGAGTGTTTTAAGAAGCGAGAAGTGGCTTACAAATCAGCAGGACAAGGACAGAGCCAGCAGAGCTTCCTTCTTTTACCCTAGGCTTGAAGACTTAATTCTGCATGAATTTAAGAGTTTTGTGTAAAAAAATAATAATAATAATAATTCAGATTTGAAATGCAAGAGACCCTGTGTCAGATCTTAGCTACAGAGGAAATAATCTGAAAAGAATGATTTACATACTGCACTAGAGTTTACAAAATTTGATGGAATCTGTATGCCAAAAATTGCCAAAAAAAACAAAAAAACAAAAAACAAAACCCCTCAGATTTTTAAAACTGTAGCTAAGTAGGAGTGATACTTGTAGAGAGATCTTAGAGTCTATTGGGAAAAGATGAATATCTATACAGGGTTATAGTCAACTCATTTGAATAGGCAAATCACAAAAATGAATAAAATAACTGAAAAGCATTTGAAAATTTAGAATTTTATCAGTAGTTAAAATAAATGATGAGCAAACATTAAGTTAAAATATAGCATGTGCTTGCCCAGCAGCAGATGCCTGCATGTCCAGTGAAGCTTGCAGGAGAGATGTGCATTGTACCTCCAGAACTGCAGAGTCTAGGGCCTCAGACCCACACAATTATGGGGCTGCCCACTGGCTTGGCCATTATGTCATATGTGCATGAAAATCATCAGCAGGAACTGCCCCGAGGGTGCGTGTCAGTTGCAGCACATCCACTTGATAGAGTATCCAGCTGCTTTTAAAAGAATATCAGGTATGTGTAGAGTATGGCAGTACCTTTGCACTCGAGAGTTAATTGATCTGGGAGCACAGCAAGTTCCAAAGCTGAGTGTCAACTGCTTTCACCAGAAAAGGAAGCAAAACATAAAGCAATCAACCCAAGTTTCTAGCTTGTGCTTCAAGCAACAAACAGATGGTAAGTACTAGATAAGTACTAGGACAAAATTTTGCATCAAAATGTGTTGAGTACTAAATTTGACAAGTTTCAAAGTACTGGAGTGCCATGGTGCAATTTTGTGTGATGATATCAGAAATTGTTTAAGAGATAGTAAAATTGGCAGGACAAACTATATGAAATGACTTCTATTTTGCATTAATAAATACATATTAACATGTATTGTGGGGAGAAAAACAACAAAATATATTGAAACATAAAGCAGGGGCACATTTTCCCTCAGACTTTAAGCAATCAAGGTT